AGGATTACAAAGGAAATGTTGAATTAAAATTGTATAACCAAAACTTTAAAAAGGCAAACTTTGATATAACATGTGATTCTGTTAAATGTGGTGGGCATGATCACCATAATATACTTCAAATTCATGCTGAGTTTGAACATTTCAAGATATTTTCAACAACTGTAAAGTGATATAAATACAAAAAATATTATGACTTCTGATACTAACAGAGCCATAGGTTTTGCTAATCCAACTGTAGTAGTTACCTAAACTTATAATTGAAATAGATGCTAAATTTTAGTAACTGATTGACCAAAAGGCATATGTGATTATTCCCTATATTCTTTCATGGATCCCCATTGCTTACCTTAAGCACTAAATCTCACTATGCACTCTCTAGCCTGTTCCTTCTTGCAGAAGGTATACCTCAGCTCTCATCAGAGAAGATTTAATTTAAGTTCATGCATTTTATCACCCTAAAAGAGGATACTCTTAAACTATACCTTTTAATCATGAGGGAGATCTTATTTCCTTTTTGAGGCACCTTTGGCAGTGGCTCCTGAGAATGCATACTGAAGTAGTTGTTCTTGAACTCTTAGTGCAGGTGGAGTAGGGTTCTACTTCTGCACATAATTAGATTGGATGCCCAGTAGTCAGTTCGTTCATAGCATAGTCAGAAAGCTAGTGGGATAGATTTAGAATTACAGTTTAGATTTAGAATGAGCTTATTTTGTGGGTAGCAAATTACTGATAAATTTGCAAAGTGTTTACTAACCCAGTAGCCGTTTTCCTCCCCTTTCTTTCTTGCTAGTAAATACCTATTTTTCCTTCCTCCCATGAAGTCCTTCACTAAGTACATAAACTTGTACTGATCCATGATGTACCAGAGAAGATGGGCTGAATATACAAATTGGTATCACTCCTTAGAGCCAAAACAGTTAGAAACTTCTCTGTTTTTTTGTTTTTTTTTTTTTTTTTTGGTACCAGGGATCGAACTTGGGTCCTTGAGCTTGCGCAGCAGGCAGCAAAACCACTGAGCTAAATCCCTGGCCCCACAGTTAGAAACTTCTCTGAATATAACAGTTTGTAGAGCACAACAGAGATAGTCCCTAGGCTTTCTTCTACATCTGATATTTCATAATTCCAATATAAACTTTTTTTGGCATTTTGAGATAGGGTCTCACTATGTAGTTCAAGATGGCCTTGAACTCACTATGCTGTCTGGCTGGCCTCAGACTTACTACAATCCTTCTGCCTCAGCCTCCCAAGTGTTGAGATTATAGGTGTATGCCACCACAATCACATCCAATATAATCTTACAAAATAATAATTAATACTAGAAGCCTGGGGAGCAATGATTGTTTGATTAGGAGGAGCAGTAGATATCAAGAAGTACTACATGCCAGGTTTTAAGATGGGCATTAGGTAGGCAGAAATGGAAAGCCATCTGCTGCCCTCCAGAGGTTTAAGGTTTGGTGAAATAAATAAGTAGTAGCCAAGTTAGTGAAAAACTGATGCGTGCTTTGCGAGAAATAAGCACAGGTACTAAAGTGGAAAAGCAGCATAGGAAGGCTTCCTATTGAGTGTTCCCACAGGTGAGAAGATGCTACCCAGATGCAGAAGAATGTGAGGTCTCCTCTTAGAATAACAGGAAAGAGTGAGATGAGGTACATTATGGAAATGACAACTTAACATTGTGCACATAAGCGTCTGGCATCGTATTATTGTCCTGTGGCAATCTGGGGCTAAGCTGCTCAATGAGTAATAAACATTTCTTTCTGATCCAGAGATCTTGTTTGTTCTTTCACAAACTGGCCAGCTACCTACCTGTGTATCATCTACCTATCATCTATCTTTGTATCTATAAACTTAACAGGAAGACACATGCTGATGGTGCCAAGAGAGGATTGTTGCTTTGGAAAATATCTCTGGAGAAGGTGTTAAGTTCAATACCAGTAGAGGTATGGAAAAGATAATTAAGAAGATCTAAATTGATTCCATCAAAGTATTAATAAGAAATAACAAAGAATATGGAACAGAGATGATGAAGAGACAATGGAAAGAAATTTTCCGTGAGTGACCAAAACCTATCCACAGATGTAGGAGACCCAACAAAACTCATGCACGAGAAATCAAAAGAAATCTATGTGTAGATAGTGAAAATGTATCCTAAATCCACCTTTCAGGAAGAAAAACATGGATTCTCTGTAAAGGAATGGTAAGTATACTGAGAACAATTTTCTCAATAGTGCAACAAGCAAATGGAAAGCATTTCTCACTTGATAACTATTCATCAACAAAACTACTTTTTAAAGAATGAAGACAGAATGAAAACTTTTAGTAAAATAACAACAACAAAAACTGAGGAAATTGAATCCTAACAGAATTCAGTACTACTTAAAGCACAGGTAGCTCTGAGACAGGATGAGTGACTTACTCAAGGGTGTTAACTGACAGATTGTTTCTTTCATTAAAAAATCTTGCTGTGAAAAACATGTCAGCTGCAATAAACAGACTCCTTAAATATGTAACTGATTATCTCTTAAGTGAAATGAATAGGACACACATGTGTAAATACTGAATTGTCTCTCTGGTGTGAGAAATTGAGAGTGTAAATGAGGACCAAATTATATAATAGATAATATGAAATATGAAGAAAAAGTTCAAAGGGAAAGGAAACTGAGGGGAGAAGGAAAAGAAAAAAATGAGAAAAGAAGGAAAAGATGGAAACAAAGCTTTTGTAAATAGGGAGGGGCAGAGTGGTGGAAGGGAGGGAAGGGGAAATGGGAAAAAAGAAGAACTGAGATATATCATGTACAGGCACAAATTCTCAGTGATAAATGTGATCATAATGTATACCTAAAGTGTACCAATAAACTTAATTAAAAAAAGAAAGATGTAACTTATTTGCATTCTGGGTCAAGCTCCTTACCAGACTGTGAGCACTAAATAATAGTTTCAATATGAAGTCTAATCTGTGGACCACACATTGAATAGCAGTGTTTAAAGGGAAGTACTATAAGAAAAAAATTTCAAAAAAGTTTGAGATCGAAAAGTAATAGTGAGAAGAAAAGATGACACACAAAGAAATCTAAAACTAGTGATGAGTATACTTTAAGAAAACTAATCTTTGAAGTTGGAAATGATAATACAGTAGTCTGGACAGAGATATCAGAGTGAGAACATTACAGAGTGATTAAGATGTAAACCAGGGAAGGGGGGTTCGGGGGGGGATAAAGTATGTTATGTGAATGTACACATCTGTTGAAATAACCCATTAATCTATATAAGCAATAAAAAGTTTTAAAAGGTGCAGACATATTGGTTACCCTTTAAACTTTTTAAATATGCATCGTAAAATTCTTAGCAATACCAAAAGATACATAGAGAAAAAAATCCAGTTTAGTAAGGGCGAAAATAGAATGAAAAAAAATAAACAAAACAGACCTCCTCAAACTGTGCAAATTAGGAAAATCGGGGCAAAGTGGAGAAATGTAGAAAAGTAGGACAATTAGAAGGAAAAAAATATGGAAGAAATGAATTCAAACATATTAATGATCTCAAGATTGGCCTAAATTCTCTAGTTAAAAGACTTAAAGCATAAGAACACAGAAAATTTGAACTCAAAGGATGGGCAAACAGAGCAAGGGATTTAGCTCAGTGGTTTTGCCACCTGCTGTGCAAGTGCAAGGACCCGAGTTCGATCCTCGATACAAAAATAAAAAAAGGATGGGCAAACATCACACTGCATGCTGTGGATATAAACTATTTTTATTTATCAATTATACATCAATAAAGCTAGAAAATTTATTTTAAAATTTTATACCAGTCAAAGTAATCTATACTTTATGAAAACCTATTAAAATAGTAATATATACAACTAATGAAAGTATAAGCCTCACTAAACATCAGAAAAAATATAAAGAGGAAAACATTTTTTAAATAAAGGAATTAATTGCACGTTGATGGATTGGTTCACTAAGAAGACATAGCAATTTTGAATGTAGCCATAAATATGTACAGATATAACATTTTGTAAAATAGGTCATAATACAAATGCACCATTAGACTGAGATAGTCTAACAACTGGTAACGGATAGACAAAGATATGAGCCACGTGTGCCGGTATACCAGCCAACCATGCATACCAAAATGAATGCAAAGTCTTCATGAGACATGAAATAAAGGCGAGACTATAGCAACAACAGGGAAAAAGCAGCCGCTGATCTCTGCTGTTCCTAACAGATGAATAGGGAATCGAGGTGCATAAATAAGGGCTCCTACCATCGTGGGGCTTGATTCTGAGAGTGGTCATCTCTTGCATATGCCCTGCAGGCCTTGGGCAGGTGGCCTCCATGTCTCTAAATGTTCAGACCTGCACCATTGAACTTGCATGTGAATTTCTAAAGCACCATTCCAAATCTCACTTCAGCCCCTCCTGGGTGGGAGTGGTGAAGTACCCGGATGTTCCTGGACGTCACAGGTGGGCAGGAGCGAGGGGACTGAAAAAGCATGCAGAGGGCCACGAGGGTTTCAGCAGAGCAAACAGGAGCTGCAGAAAGCTCAGCTCTTGAGATCAAGGAGCTCCTCAGAGATACTGGAGTGACCCTCATCAGCCATCTGCAGAGCTGGTTTTCCTCCCATGTACCGTCCTTTGCCAGTCTTTGACTCCTAGAGGGCTACAGCACTCATATACCTGATGCCTAAAGATAAGCGTTAGCTCCGTCCTTTTTGTGACCACCCTGCATTTCCCTCCAGCCTAACACTGTGCTCCTCACTCAGATAAACCCAGAGCCTCAAATTTTCACCAACTTTGTTTCTACATTTTCAAATATTATGCAATTTTCAACCCTGATATCGAATTCCACCTTTTCCACTCAGCTCCCCAGCTCACATTTCCCCCTTGGAGAAATCTGCAGACCACGTGGCATTATGCTGTCTCCTCCTGTATTCCCAGGCTCTAGGCTTGGCTCCAAGCTACTAAGCAGGGTTCATTGCTACTTTGCTTGTATCATCCACAGGGAAAGATTGCAGCTGACTGATTCACTGTTGGATTGATGGAGACACCAAAATGAATTAGATCACATCATTTGGATTCTTGTAGCTTGGAAATTGAATGATCTTATAATGAAGAATCTGAATTTCAAAAAGGTGAATTTTGAAATTGATTTTGAAATGATTTAATTCTATAGCTATTTCTTAAATGTCATTATAGCCACTGAGTTATATGTGAAAATAGTCTATTTATGCATTTCTACCAGGTAGGAACCACCACTAACTTGGTAAGAATAAGTATGTTCCCAGTCCTCCTAAGTTTTTATTTAGCTGTGTAAATCATCATCAAAATCAAACTTGAAGTCCCTTCTGTCAAACAATCCAGGCTATGGAAATGAGCATGGAATTCAAAGGAGTTAGGAAACTGTTTCTCTTCTTACAAAAGGAGTCGTTTTTGTCTTTTGCTCACATGAAACACCTTGGGACAGCTACATGAGAAATGTGGATGTTTCACCATAAAATACCGAAAGATAATAGAGAACAAAACACAATATGCCAATTAGATCAGTAGAGGGAAGAAATATTAAGAACAATGTCTCATAGGGAAGCCTAATAGGGCTTCACAGATATCATCGTGTGAAATATAAATGAACCATCAGGAGCCGTTGACACAGGGAAAATAACAACATCCAAGTACCCTGAAACCCTATTCAAAATGAAGACTCCTGCAGGAAAAGAATCTAATTCTAGAGCATAATTTAGCCCCTGAAGAGCACAGAGGAGGTGCTCTATAAATATGCTGAAGTCCTTTCAGTATCCACTTACCTTCTCTGAGCTGTTCCCAGGGCTAATGCTCTCAGACAGTCATTGGATGCAGCTGTCCAACCCCTTGTTAGTGGATTAACCATATTTCCTTAGGTCACTACAGATAGCTGGCTAGGTCCCCGTCAGATCCTCACTGATAACTGTTCATTCATCCTATCTGTCTATTTACCCATCCATCTACCTATCATTTATCTATCAAACTATCCATCCATCCTACCTTTATATCCATTAACCAACTATTTATCCACCTAATATGACCATCTATCTACCTACCCATCTACTCATCTCTTCCACCCACCCTTCCCTCCTGTCTACCCATTAATCATAGGTCTATTTTTCCATCTAGCCTATCTGCTCATCCCTTTTTTCCCTTCATCCATCCCGTCTATCCATTAACTATCCATCTATCTATGTATCCATCATCCATCCATGCATCCATCCAGTCATTTCTCCGAATTCTAAGCATGCTCCCCTAAATATTTCTCTGTATTATTATGATACTCATTTTGAGAAAGGAGGAAGATAAAAGAGCGTTTTGTGATTTCTGTTGTCTCCTTTCACAAATCTGTAAGGCAAAATTAGGCTACCAAACACATCAAGGACATGTGTGACCATTATCCCTGATGATCCTATGTTAACTTTCTATAACATTCCTTAATTGGTGGAGGAGTTACACAGTGGATGATAGGGACTTCCCTGTAGTTCTCTCAAACTACACCCCATGGATGACCACTGGGTCTTTCTGCACATGTGTAAGGTTCACACCCTGCACTGAGGAGAGCATCATGCACAAGCTGGGAAAAGCCCCAGAGGTGTCCAGATCCCTGGGCTCTGGTCCTGCCCATGAATGCCATCAAATAAGGAAATTATGTTTAGCCGCCCTAGTGTTTAGTTTTCCCATCTGCAGGATGGGGCTAGTGATCACTACTCACACTCACAGAGCTGCAGTATTAGGTTACACTGCACATGAGATGAGCCCGTGCAAAACCTGTGGCTGGTGGTGCAATTGTCCTCACTGGGACATCTTTAGCGGGGGACATCAGTCACAGAGCAGGCAGGGTGACAGGCACTGTGGAGGGGTTGCACTTCCTGTGACCACCTGTATCTTCTGCCCCCACAAACACACACTTGTATCTCAATGTAGCCTCACACCATGATTCCAGACTCTGTATTCCCCTACTGTCTCTAGGTGTCTCCTCCTGACACCCAGTATTTGTCCCAATTTCACACCACGAGTCTCCAGTTGTGTGCTGGGATGGGTTTCTGAGGCCAACACTGGGCACTCCTGGGCCTGGTTCCAGTGCTGCCTGAAGAGTGGCAATACAACACTGACAATGATGTTCATTTAACCCACCACAGAACTGTGGATCATGCAGAGAAGAAGATTCGAACAGCCCAGAGGCTCCTAGCTGCCTCTCTGATGGATCTGGTGACTGAGCTGCAGTTGCAGCTGAAGTTTCTCTCTGGTCAGGCAGGTGTACCAAACAGGAGTACAGATGCGAAATCCAGGCTGTTACCACCAAGCTCATTTTAAAAAAGAAGACAATGAGTTTTTAAATTCGTTTAGCCTAGGTTCTTTCTTAGGATTAAAAATAAAATAACATTTGCTCACCATAGCCACCACTAGGATAAAGAGGCTGCAGTTGAAATACTAATGAAACAAGGGATCTTGGGTCAGGAAAACAGCTTCAAGCAAGAGTCAAACACCAATTTGGTGCAGTTGTTGTTATGGGGTTTTGTTCCAGGATTTTTGAGGGCCTCTTCATTTAAAGATAATCCAAAAGTAATGAATTTAGAGCTTAGACACACTTTAAAAATATTCCCATGATTATATTGGCAAGCTCTTTAATGCTAATTACACCTAATTTATTTGTAAATTTACTTATTGGAGGATTTGTAGTTCAGGATTATGTTGATTTTTAGTATAATTAGGATTTGCTAGACCAAAGTTTGTTCAGATTATTAAATACCTGAATTCTTTTCCTCCCTCCCCACTTCCTCCCTCTCTCCTTTCCTTCCCTTCCTTCCTTCCTTCCTGGGACTTGGTCACTTAGTCAAATGTTACTGGGCACTGCTGTGTATGGGCCCCATCTTCTAGCCATAGGACAGTGTCCTTACAAACTTCAGTGCATGTAGAGAGCTAAGAGCTTTCTTATATGCTGAGGGAGGCATATAACCCAGTCCCAGAAGACTGGGACAGCTTCCCAAAGTAGAAATGAGAATCAACCAGAGAAAATAAAAGTAAAAAGGTGCTGGCCCTGTACATGCCAGGCAAGGTCTGGAGAAGAGAACAAAGGTGGTAGCCTGAGTCTAATTTCACAAAAAGGAAATGGAGATGAGACATGGTATTTTGACTTTGGAAGTAGCAGGCTCAGATTCTCCTGGTTGTGCAGAGGGTCCTGAGGAGGCAAGGATGAGGATGGAGAAAAAGATCTTCTAGCAGAGAGCTGAGGTTAACAAAGTGAGTCCTGATGGTTTTCTGAGCCAGGATCCTGACAGCAGCAAGATGTTCCAAAAATGAGAGAAACTTTCAGGTGATAGAGACTTAGAGATTAGCAGCAGCGGGAAGGAGAATTGAGGACAGTGATCATCTCTTCCTCAAGGGCACATAGATCATGGCTCACTTCAGACTGACGTGGGCTGTCCTAGGTTTGAAGATCAATACAGTGGGAAGGTCACAGGCAACTTAGCCTGTTCCAACTGTCTACAGAGAACAAGGGAAGGAACTGCCAAAGACCATGGGTGGACTTGTGCCCAGCCCTCCTCCATCCGCCTCTCATCCTATGTCATCACATACATGTCACTTGTTGAACTATTGTCGGATGGTTTGGCCTGCAGCAGTCCCCAAGGATGAAGACCTTCTGAGCTTCCAGACAAACACATCTCTTCCTGCATGAGTGAAACTGGCTCCGGAAGACGCACTGTGCTTACGTTTCAGTGGAATTGATCTCATGGAAGTGTTCTGAATGTTTTCTCCAGGTTTTATGTTTTGGTCCCGAATGGTCACCAGAGGTATTACTAAAAAATATCTTAGATCATTTTGTAACCTTTCAAAATGTTCTAGAAAGTAAAAGCAAGTAAATATATGTAGCCTAGAATCCATTATGTAATTGCTTACCAAACTAGGGTCTCTTGAGTTCTACCTGAAAATGTACTTATTATTTATGTTAACTAAATATACTTTCTGACAAATTCATTTCTTTTATATCACCCTAGTATGTAGCCTCTGTACAGCAATCAGATAATTATGGAAGAAAATCACAGCCAAGAGTTATCTCTAAAACCAACATGTTACCCATAATAACAATAAACCCCATTTCATTTCCTCCATACATTTAGAAAACACCTACCTCCATACATGAGTAAGAAAATATTCATCTCTTTACAAATCTAAAAATCTGCATTTAACCAGTAAGAAAATACACAACAAACACCAATAATATAACATTTTTCTTTATCTAGCTTTCCCTTTGATCGTCTTTAATAGATGGGAATTTCTCAACGACAAACATCACTTTCACAGTTGTTTTCACTCCTTTCAACTTTTTGAAAAGATGTCTTTCCAACTAAGAACAGTCTTTAGAGACTAGCATGTCCTAATGGCACTTAATGTTTGTCTCCTTCTGTGCAGACTCCCGGAAGGCGAGCACAGGTGTGGGGGTGTGGAAGGCACCTGGTCACAACCTGTGTCCTCGTGGCATCCATGCTGCCGATGCGAAGATGCTAAGCCATAAATATACATCGCTCAGGTCTCTGCTGGGTGCCAAGCTGCTCAGTGACACAGCAGCTTCGTCTCTCCATCCACCCCAAGCACTGAAGCTACGTGTCCCACGCAGCCCCAAAAGAATGAGCAAACACCCTGGGGGAAGGAAGGGAGGGCTGTTTCAGCACCAGTGGGATTCTCACAGCAGAAGACCTGGGCTTAAGGACCCCCCATCTGCTGGCCAGACTCTCCTTGGAGCCACAGAACAGTCCAGCCATCCAAATGTTTAAGCATCCCTCTCCTCACCAGGTGCCCCCCAGCTCTGCCCCTCCTTCTGTACCCTTCTCCACAACTTCCTGCACCTCAATCTCATCCTGGTGTCTGCATCTCAGCTCACCTGAACTAAGGCTGGAGGCAAGACCCCTCTTCTTAAGCCATTAAATGAGAATGAACGCCTAGGTGCGGTGGCTGAGGTTGTGTTGACTTCGCTGGCCATGGTGCACAGTAGTATCAAATGCCAGTCCAGAGGTTGCTGCAGATGTATGTTTTAGATGTGGTCAACATTTAAGTTAGCAGACTTTGTTTGAGTCAAGCAGATTACTTGTCCTAATGTAGATGGGCCTTATCCAAGCAGGGGCTTCCATTTCTAAACAGGTCCTTACAGGAATCTCTGCAGGAGAATTTGCTGGAAGCTTCAGGAGCTCTTCTCAGAGTGCAGCTCAATGTGACAGGTTGTTTTTTTAAATTACATCCCAGGTTTGCAAATCCAAAATGGATCCTTAAAAGGTTTATATCAGAATAAAACATGCTTAAAGAAGCAATTGCTTAAATTTGGGAACACATTTGCTAATTTGGATGGTAAAGGATGAGGAACACAGGCTCTTCTGGAACATAAAGTGTGTGATATATGTTCTTCCCAGAAGTCATGACAGGATGAACCTGGAAAGTGTCTTCACAGTTAAGGAATATTTTTTTTCTGAACTAATTATAATATTTGTGATAAATGATTTATGCAATTTCATAATTTCTTTTGGCCTCCAAAACACAATCTCAAACACATGAACAAGAACAAAAAGACTAGAAGGAAACATATAACAAAATATAACATTGATAATTATAGTCAGGCTGAGGCTACAGCTCAGTGTTAGAACATTTGCTTAGCAGCCACCGAGCCCTGTGTTCAACCCCCAACGCTGCAAATAAATAGTTGTCATTTGGTGATGGAACGAATGCATTTTCTCCCTTAGCCTCTTCCTGCATTTCCTAGGGTGTCTCCAGTGAGCACACAGTGATCTGACAACAGGAAGCACAATTCACTCCAGAGTGAATGTGTGCCAGTTCTGAGTACCACCCGGTCCTCCCACTCCTTCTGTTTCACTGCAGGGCTTCATTTCCGAATCTTCCTTATGAGGCAGGAGTTCTTGGCGCAAACCTAACAGCCATCAAATGGCCCTGTAGGTAGATGTGTTTTCCAGGTTAGGGGATAAAAATCCACCTGAAGGTGTAGAAACATTCTGCATCCTGGTCCAGGGAGCCCAATCCTCCACCTCCAGCCCAGGTGGGTCCTCAGACCTGGCACAGTGCTGCGCCCACATTGCCTCCTCTCTTCCCTTGTCACTTCTGTCTCATTGCAGAACTCCCTTCCATGCTCGATGTTAGTGGTGCCTGTGTCCCTCCACACTGGCCCTCAACTGCAGGCTCACTGTGTCATCCGGTGCCTTTGCACAAAGGAATGCACAGAGCAAGAATAGTGGCTCCTGCAGACAGGAGCAAGGAGCCTCTTGTGCCCTAGGATGCCCTCCAAGCTGCCTGGGGTGTCAGGGGACTTGGCACCCACTGTCCCTTGGAAACCTTAAACAGAGATTAGCTGTAACTGTGAAGCAGCTCATTTCTCTTCCATTCCTAATGCTGGCCTGGCTTCTTGGAACAGGGATTGGAACCAGACCCTGCTGACATCCTATTCCCCCAGGAATGTTGATGTGTGAAAATCTTTGACCACTCTGGCCAGAAAGGCAGGGGGCAGTGTGTGTGTGTGTTTGTGTGTGTGTGTGTGTGTGCGCGCGCGTGCATAGTGGGTTTATGCATGGGATGTGTATGGGCATGTGGGGTGATGATGGCTGTGGTGAGGGAGGTCACCCACAGCAGGTGGGGGACAGGAGGCTGGCAAAGGCATATACAGGGCCGACAGCCAGAGTGACACCCACGAAGAGCCCGGCAATGCCAGGAAGTGGCCAAGATCTCAGGAAGCAGCTGGTGACTCATGCCTGGGGCCATAACTGACTCACCGTCTTCAGGGCTCCATCTTGGGAAGGGCTCTTCCCAGCCTTGCTCAGCCATTGGTCCTTCTCAGGCCTCCAGGCCTGAGTTCATCTCCATTCCTTCTGTTCTTTTCCTGGAAGATCAGTGAGCACCTTAGCTGAGAGCTGCTATCGACCCATCAGCTCAGTGGCCTGCAGTCAAGCACCATGCTGGGGACCCCACAGGGGTCACCCCACTCTCAGCTCTGGTCCCCAAGATGAGACAAGGCTGATTTTCCTTCAGCACCAAGGGCCAGCCTTGATTGGTCTAATCAATACCTTCCCTGACTGTAGTGATTTTTAGGTCAGCAAAGTGCATTGTCTAACCCAGTCCCATGATCACTGTGCCTGGGAGGAATACAAAAAATACCAGGGGAGAGAAATTTCTTCTTCCTTTTTAGATGTAAAGTTGAGAAGATCTGAGAGCAGGAGCTCCTACAGCCATTTTGTCACGATGGTGAGGATGGGGTGGAAGCAGAGGAATTCGGGCTGAGCTGGAACATGGCATCGAAGAGACCAAACTGGGCACAGAGATGGGAATTCTAGGGTTGAGGTGGCGTCCATTCAGATCCCCATCATCACATCCGATGTGAGCTCTAGGCATGAAATTCCTCACAACCTGAGGCAGACCTTGCTTCCTAAACCTGAGGGGCTGGGATCCTCAGGTGTGAGACCTCAGGTCAGCAGCAATAGCATCTCTTGAACACATGTTAGAAATTCAAATTTTGTTTGTTTGTTTGTTTGTTTAGAGCTAGAGATTGAACCAGTGCTTTCACACTGAGCTTCATCCTCAGCCCTTTTCTATTTTTAATTTTGACACCGTGTATTGCTAAGTTATTAAGTTGCCCAAGCTGGGCTCCAAATTGTGATCCTCCCACCTCAGCCTTCCAGAGTGCTGGGATTATGGGTGTGTACTACCACACCAGGCAAAAGTCCAGATACTTGAGGTCTATTGCAGCCTGTACTTTAACAAACCCTCTAGGATATTCTGATATAATATGCAGTTTGAAAACACTCAACTTCTCTCTCTCCCTTTTCTTTTCCACACTAATTTGCAGCACATCTCCCTGTAATCATCTGAGGCTGGCTCTACCTACATACTGATCCCACATTCTGATGCCCGTGTGACACTGTGGAGGGCCTGGAACCTGCTAAACATCTCTGTGTGAGAACATTCTCCTCTTTGTCCTAAAGTCATTTCCGCAGGACAGAGCTCCTGAAGAGCCACCCTGCTGCCCTCGGTGACAGATTTGCCAGCCCTCCACCAGGTGGATGGATATGGTGAGATCAGCTGTGTCCTCTGGTATTTCTCCTGCTCTCAGGGTGATCCCAGCCTCCTACCATCATGAAGCAGCCCCCAGGAGGAAGCTGCAGGAAGGCAGCCATCTGAGGATAGTCATCCCAGCTTCACACTCCCAGAAAGTCACAGAGAAAAACAGTCTTTTTTTTTTTTTTTTTTTGGCTGAGATGTAGGGTGGCAGATAGGAGGAAGGGAGAAGTCATCACATAGAACAATGCAGATAAATAGAATTCAATGGCTATTCTATTCAGCATTTTTCTTCTCTCCATTAAATTAGAATAATTTTGTACTAAAGACAAGCACATCAGATGAAAGGAAATTTAATTTGTTTTGACATCCCCCAAATAAAAAGTACAACATGAATTCACACATATCAAATTCTTCAAAAGGAAATACAGAGAGAAGATGCTCAAAGACAAATTGTTTATGCAAGTTTCTTCTCAGAGAGCTGGAGTTTGGAAATTGCCACTGTGTTTTGGGGAACAATGCTTTCTGGTTGAGAAATATGAGATGAGATTGCAAATACAGTGAATGTTTAAATTAAAAAATATATTACAGTTAAAATACATTGCCATGAATCCCCCTCAAAGTACTCCCCCTCACCTTGAACACACTTATCCCATCATCCTTGCCACTTTCTGAAGGAGTTCTGGAAGTCCTCTTTCCTGAGTGTCTTCAGTTGTGCTGTTGTGGCTGCCTTGACATCCTGAATAGATGAAAATGTCTCCCTTTCATTGTCATTTTGACTTTGGCGAAGAGCCAGAAGTTGCACAGTGCCAGATTTGGTGGATGAAGACACTGTCATGTTTTAGCAACCTGCCTTTCCATTGCATAGTACTCAGCAGCAGCATTCACAATAGTTTTTATCACACCTTATAAATACCTCAGGAAAGAGGACCTTCAGAACTGCTTCAGAAAGCATCAAGAATGATGGGATAAGTGTCAGGCACATGAAATCTGAAACAATCTATCATCAATAGAACTGGACTATAAAAGATGTTAAAGGAAGTTCAGGGAGACACTGGATGGAAATCTATCTGAACCAAGGATGAGGAATTCTAGATGTGATAACTACATTAAAAATGTAATATACTGTATCTTTACATTTCAAATATATACTATAAACATTACCGTAACTACTAACCTAATGCCACCAAGGTGAAGAAATGGAATTATAAAACATATATAATCTAACACAGGCAAATAGAGAGGGAAAATGAAACAAAGAACAAATGGTAAAAAAAATTTTAAAGCTCAATATTAAAATTATATATTTAAATTTAACAGTATGAATGTAAATATTCTAAATAACTCAATTACAAGGCATAGATTATCAAATTAAATTTAAAAAGCAAGAACAAGCTGTATGCCACTTATCATGAACCCACATTAAATATAAAGATAAAAACTTACTGAAATGAAAAAGGTGGAAAAAATATAAAAGGCCAACTTTAATGAAATAAAAATAGACAAAATAGACTTCAGATCAAAGACTATTACACAGAATAAAGTGAGTCATTTTCTGTTGATAAAGAGGATGATGAGAACCTAGGGATTCTAAACATTCTGTTCTTCATAATGTAAATTCAAAATATATAACTGGCAAAAATAATATACTTCAAGAAGATTTAAACATTTATCTCAAAGTAGGAGGAAAATATAGTTTCATGGTTTAGATCTGGATTCTCCCAAAAGCCCTTAGGTTAAAGGGCTGTGGCACTATTAGAAAGTAATGAACTCTTTAAGAGGTGGGGCCTAGTGGGAGGAAGTCAGGTCATTGGAGATGCCTGGTCCCACCTCTTCCTTTCTAACTAGCTTGTGGTGAGCAGCTCTGCCCCACCATGTGGTCCTGTCATGATGTTGTACCTCACCAGTGAAACCTCTGAAACAATGAATCAAAATAAATCTTTCCTCCTCTCAGGTTGATTTTCTCAAGTTTATTGTCACAGGGACAGAAAGCTAATTAATATATATAGTTACTAAAGTAATAATGATATAGAATATTTAACCATGCTATTATTAACCAAATTGACCTCAATTGATCAATTAACATAGAATATTCCACCTAACAACTACAGAATCGATATTATTTTCAACTGTACATGGAAAATTTACCAATATATATCTTATTATGGTTGATAATACTACCCTCAATAAATATAGAAAGATTAAGTCATATCAAATTTGGTTTTGACCATAAAGAATTAAATTAGAGGGCCAGGGATTTAGCTCAGTGGTTCTGCTGCCTGCCTCGCAAGTGCAAGGACCCGAGTTTGATCCCCTGTACCAAAAAAAAAAAAAAAGAATTAAATTAGAAAGT